CCAAGAGTTCCAAGAATTCCTAGAGTTCCCAGGGTTCCAGGAGTTCCCAGGGTTCTATCAGTTCCCAGGGTTCCAACGTTTCCAGCAGTTCTCAAGAATTCCCAGGGTTCCAAGAGTTCCCAAGAGTTCCCAAAGTTCCCCAGGAGTTCTGAATTCATGGTATCCGGCCACGTCTCAAATAATTAGACTATTATTATTTTCAATATTGAACTTAAGCCTATCACAATACCAACAACGTTTGGTAATGACTAATATTGATATTGATCGGTATTGGTACTGAGTAGGGTTAGTACTTTAATGTTTAAAAAATCCAAGTTAAAGTAGAATTTCTTCCACTACAGAAAGTTTTTTAAGAAAAAAGCAATTTTATATAAAGTTCGATCAAAAGTCTTCGAGCTTGAAGAATCCAAATTTGAAATCGGTTCCTCGAAGTTTTGAATTTGATTTTTTCACAAAAAAAGTTTTGTAAAAAAAAAGGAAAAATTACTTTTACAAAAAAAAAGAGTTTTTTTGTGAAAAAGTGACTTTTTAAGGAAAAAACCTTTCACAGACAGAATGGCTTTTTGACAAAACAAAGCCTTTTACAAAAAAAGCTTTTTCTGAAAAAATCAAAGTCAAAATTTCGAAAAGCTGATATCAAATTCATATTTCTCAGTCATGAAAACCTTTGATCAAACTTCATAAAACACTCCTTTTTTTCTTCGAAATTTCTTCTTTAGTGAAAGAAATTCTACTTTAACTTGGATTTTTTTAAAGTTAAAGTGTCAACCCTATTCGGCATCAATACCTATCAATACCAATATCATCAATACTGTATTGGCATTGTGATATGCCTAGTTGAACTCACTTTGATCTGATTGAGAACCAAAGGTAAGGTGGAAGTGAATGGACGATCCGATTTTTTCGCATTACCATGTGGTTTCAGTCGTAGACTTTCGATGTTATCATAGTTACAGATCGCATACTGTAAAAAGATAGGCAGATTCAGTTTATTCAAATCATCTTCTGCCAACGTTTGGCTCGAATAAGCTATCATTCGACGAAGTGAGGGATTACTTGAATTTGTACCATAATATCTACAAATAAAAATCATTAATCTAGGCGACAATACACATATAGAAATGTCTACTAACCGGTGCATTGTAATAAGTCGATCTGGATTTACCGGACATGAGATATATCGATTTCCTACCCTTTCGTTATAATATAATTTTCCTGAAGCGTCACAACGTACAATCTGATATTTATCTTGTTCTTTGAATACAAATAAAGTTCTTGAAGAACTCATTTGTTTCCATATTCCATTACCGTCTTTTCCGATAGATAATCGATTTTCTTCAGTTAGTTTTACGGTAAATATGGATGCGTGCGTTATTATTTTTGGTGGCTGTTCGAATACTTTTCCCTCTTTGACAGCATCAATCATATGTTGAATGATTGCAGGCGCCTCGAGAAAAATCTGTCTTTTCTCAAGCACGGAGAAAACATTTTTTGTTTCAACATTATTTTCTTTTTCATCGTCCATTTGACTTGTGTACGTTATTGTTGATATACTCGTACGTAAAACTGTTTGTGGTGGCACTTCCGTTGGTTCAACATATGTAACATCATCATCCATGCTTTCAATACGAGTTGTAGTTTCGATTGCAGAATTCGGCTGAAGAATAGAAAGTACGGGCGTAAAATGATTGGGACGCCAGATTCGATCCACCTCCTTTTCCGGACCTGACCACATTATACGAATTGGAGTTTCGAACGATAATAACTGTTTATTTCGTGGAATAAAAACTGTGTTTAATACTTCACCATAAGCATAATTCTCATTGACATCAGGATATATTGATTCTATCGGTTGTCCAATAACTGTAGACAACGTCGCAAATGTTAGTACACCAGTATATTGTTGACTATTAATAATTCGTAATACATGATTTTGAACAGACTCGTCATCAACGATATCCAAGCCCATTTCAGTCTTTATAGTTTCATAGTACTGTTCGTGTGTACATAATTCATCAATGCAGTGAGCACGCAATTGATTTATCGACATCGTCGGATAAAACGTTTGCAGCGAATGGAATAAACAATCGCCATCACCCGCCACTGTAACAGGAACTACTTCATCGGTCGAGATGGTGGTATGCTCTTCAAGAAGTTCCTTCGCATGTTCATCAACCGTATGAACGTTTTCATCGAACATCACAATGGAAGTATCAGGTACATGATAATGATCAATTGCATCATGCATATCGATACATTTCGCTTGCAACCCAAAATAATCATTACATTCGTCCTTGAGTCTCGTCAGAAATAGAAGATAAAAGTCTTCACGGGTTTCCGATTTGCAAACATTGCATAGCATTGAGTTTGTTCGCAGATCACACATAGCACAAGTTGTTCTAGAAACTTGTTTTAATGCTGCCATCATGTTTGTTAACATTGTTGTTGTAATCACCACTTGAAGAGAAAAAAAGACTGCGCTCTCTTTCTTCTCTTACTCTTTTAGTTTTTACTCTTCATTCCTATGAACGTGACTGATAAATGCCTTTCATCATAAACAGAAAGTGGTTGCGGGTTATTTTTTTAAATTCTTATTCAGTTGTGTTACGTTCTTATCAGGGATACTACGATGGCAAAACGAATAGTGATAGAAACATCACTCTACTACAATGAAAATATTGTAAATTATGTAGCGATTCATCCAGAAGACAATATTTTTTCACATACAAACAGTGTGGAAATTCTGAATAAATATGGTGTCGTTGAATTCGAAGTTATTCTTAAACCGACCGTTACATTAGGTGCAATCGCGTTGAATAGTTTTCAACGTAAGAAGTATCATTTTAAGAAGTACCACAGTTATTTTGTACGCTGTTATTCATCCGAAAAATATTCACGTACACTGTTCGATATAATTAATGAACGATTCGATTTCAAGAACAAGGTTCGTGGAATGGAACGTGTATTAGAAGAAATATTTGGCGACGTCTTGCTTCCACGTCTTTATCCACAAAGTTTCGTCGCTAAAACGGATATAAATAAAACACGAGGTATTCTTTTACATGGACCACCCGGCACTGGAAAAAGTCTCATTGCTCGAACTGTGTGTGATATATTAAAAGTAAATCCGAAAGTAATACGTGGTCCAGAAATCTTTTTATCCATGCTGGGTCAATCAGAACAAAATATTCGAGATTTGTTTGAAGAAGCTCGTCAAGATCAACGAAACTTTGGTTCCAACAGTAAATTACACGTGATTGTATTCGACGAAATCGACGCTGTGTGCAAAAATCGAACACAGAATAGTTCAGTACGCGATACCGTGCATGATAATGTTACTGCTCAGCTCCTGGCTGAGATCGATGGAATGATTTATCTTGACAATATTCTCTTAATCGGCACAACAAATATTCTCGAAGCAATCGATCCAGCACTGCTTCGTCCAGGACGTATGGAGAAAGTTATTAAGATTGAGTTACCAGATGCAGCTGCTCGCTCTGCTATTTTTGATATCCATACAAAAGCACTTATCCGTAATGCAGCACTTAATGAAGACGTCGACATCAACCACATCATTCGCCGTACCCAAGCAATGACCGGAGCACATGTAGAACAAATTGCTCGATTGGCAGTTCAGGCTGCTATGCGACGAGACATTTTAAAGCCAGATAAATTCGATATTACCGAAGAAGAGGCCGAAGCCCTTGAAGTTTGTCATCGAGATTTCATCGAAGCTTTATCCAAAATAACCATATGATTTTTAAAGAAGTAAAAAAAAATTAAAATTATCATTATAAACTGCTATTTTTGCATGATCACAAAAAACAGAATTCATTTTACACATTGTACTTTGTTCGATTGCTTCTATAGAAATAGTTTGCAAATTTTAAATCTACTATCATAAATGTTTTAAATAAAATTGCTTTTAGAGTAATTTTTAGTCG